GATAGACCCCTAACATGACTGAAAAATTCAAACACAAAAAAATCCTATTTGACAATGTTCTGTGGCAGTCAGATATGAACCATGGCTTTGTTTTGAAATTTGCTATATATTTTCTATGTTTACTCATCCATGCAAAATAGATAAATCTATGCCTGGCAACAAGTTTAAGTAAGGAAATTAATAAGAAAATATTCAACATTGGAGAAATATGTTAAAAACTACATAGGGTAATGATTCTTCTTCTAACATAACGTACTGCATCCATCACAAAAATAAGAAAAATTGTAATAATTATTTCTTTTTTCCTTCTAGTTGGAATTTTTACACTTTTGATGAGTATCCAGATGTCATTATGGGCACAAAAGAAACACAGGATCTATCTGAGGAAATTCAACTCATATATGCATAGAAAATCAGCGATGATTCCACTCATATTGTGAAGAAATGAATAATATTATCTCATAGAGAACACTGTCTCTGACTTAGTCAAGATGGTTTACTCTGTGTTTTAGTGATTAACGAACAACTGTATTTTTACTGGGTAAAAATATAAATTCTACCATTTGTATTTTGTATTTTACCCAGTAAAAATACCAAAAGGTAGAATTTAGCTGAATTTAGAGGTAATTAAACCTAATGGGTTGAAAAGTGGAGATTTTAAAAGAATTAACGAACAGGTTGACTATAGTTGCATAGGATTGGTCCTTGAAAAAAATTTCAGTGATATTTCACAATAATACCAACAAAAAAATAAATTTGATTAAAAATGAGCAAAACATTTGAACAGTTTTTTTCTTAAAAGAAGACACAGAAAAATGATCAACTTTAACAACCATTAGGGGAAAGGTAAATCAAAACCAAAATGAGATGAAATCTCAACTCAGTGACGATGGTTATTACCAAAAGAGGAAAATAACAAACGCTGCTAAAGTTGTGGAGAGAAGGGAATTCTTATACACTACTGGGGTGATCTTACCTAGCTGTATAGCTGTTGGAGGACAGTGTGAAGGGTCCTCACAAAACTACAAGCAGAACTACCAGTTGACACGGCCGTGCCAGTGCTGGGCATTTACCCAAAGGAAAGGAGGTCAGTATGTCAGAGCGGCACCTGCAACCCTGTTTTACTGTAGCGCTAATCACATCAGTCACTTTACAGGATTTACCCAGATGCCCAAAGGTGGGTGGAGGGATGAAGAAATGTGGGTATATTCACAATGAAATCCTATTCAGCTGCAAAGAAGGATGAAATCCTGTCACCACGATGGCGTGAGTGACCTGGGGACCTTATGTTAAGGGACGTAAGCTAGGAAGAGAAAGTTAAAACACATGTTCCCTCTCGTGTGAGGCATCTAAAAAAAGGCCGTTTTACACAAGTCAGGAGAGAACAGAGGATGCTTGAGTCTGGGAAAAATTGGGGAAAAGAGGATAAGGAGAGACTTGTTAAAGGAAACAATTTCAGCTAGAGGGGAGGAATAAATTATAGAGTTCTATTGCCTGACTATAGTTAACGACAACATGTTTCGTAGCTTCAAAGAACTAAAGGAGGGATTTTTGACCATTTCCAACATAAAGAAATGATAAATGTTTGAGGTGATGGGCATGATTTATTTACCTTGATTTAATCATCATAAATTCATAATATATATCAAAATATCACTACATACCCCATAAATATGAGCAATTATGTCATGGAAATAAAATTAAGCTAAAAAGTATAAAAATTCTAAAGTAATTCTTTTTCAAAGTTGTAGCGCTTAAGTCACTTGAATGTTGTACATTATTTTAACATTACTATAATTTTTTCCTTTATTATCCAATCTGTAACAGAAATGTCTTAGGCTCTTATGTCAAAAACCTAATGCTTTCAGTTCAATTGCCTTATGAAATTGTGAAAAGTATTTCTACATCAAAAATGAAATATTTGTACTTAGCCATGTATAATATACTTATATTTTCAAATTCTAAAGTTCTGATTTGTATATTTTCAACAATTATAACTTTTATATCAAGGTAAAAATTATGATGATATTAGCAACTCATAAATTCCTTATTGTCAATATGAAAAAAAACATATTGGTCTTATTTCTAATTTAAGAGAAATATGGATAGAAATAAATGTATATCTGATATCTTTATAAGAACAATATAAGTTTGGCCAAGAAGGAGTTTTGTCATTTGAGAAAGGGGTGCATTTAATATATTCTATCATAACTCATACCATGTATAATTTCTACGAAAAATAACAAATTCGTGGCTGACCGGATCTTCAAAGATTGGGGTGTCCATTGGTTTTCTTACTGTTTAGTAGGTCTTTTCTACATGATCAAAGATAGGTCAATTCAGAGTCTTCAGCAAGACTGTTACCTGTGCTTGATCATGCTTGGTTCCTGTATTTGGAAACGGAATTGAAACCAAACACCAAAGCAGCAATCAGTGGAAGTTTATTAGGCAAGTGTACCTCATGGCATGTAGGTGGGTGTGAAAAGGGTGAGTAAGTGGTGGCGCACTTCATGGTCAAGGGTCAAGAGTCTAGGGTCAAGAGTCTAGGGTCAGGAGTGGCACACAGCCACCATTTCTCAGTTGTTATCTCAATGCATGGCACACATCTTGGGGGTGAGACACAATTATAAGAAGGGCTTTCCTGAACAAACGCAAACAATGTAACCTAATTCATTGCACTGTCAATAAAAAAAATGGAAAAAAAAGAAAAAAAAACTGTATTTAAATCATTTTCTCTCTTATATGAAAAGAAACAAGGTAATGTAGACAGAATTTGAAAGGTCTTGTGCTTCAGAACACTTCCTACTTCCCAAATGTCAAATTCTCAGTTATATATGATTCAGGAATTAGGGGAAAGTGTTGAAGTGTTTATTTCTAAATATATTTTAACACAAGCGAGATTCTCACCCGTGTTCTTGAACTTACTTTAAAAAATATTGACAAGTATTCACTGCATATTACGTTTTCTAAATGTGAAAAGTTATGCTCTTTCTCTGCAAAAGGAGAGATTCTTCTGGTATGAATTATATAAATAAAAGGAAAGTAAATTTTCCCAAATAAACCTTATACATGTATAATATTGAATATACAACTCAATGTTTACTATAGCTTGTTTTCAGCAGATTGCCTCAGTATGGAAGCACTCACGTCCTGGTGTCATTTTGGACGAGTCATGTCTTTGACTCATCTCTAAGGGAGTTTATTTTTTGTCTTTCACTGTGGCATCAAAGAGTACTTCCAATTATAATATTTAACAAGCATTGTTGTCAAGTCAATTTGATATGCCAGAGGAAAATGTGGGCTGTCCACCTCATTAGCATGAGACACTGTGCCTGGGTGTGTTCACTGAACAGTATTGATTCAAGTACACACAATTACCTAGTGGCTGAAGTGAAAATATCTATGCGTAGCTGATGGCTGAAATTGATCTTAAGTGTTTAATAGCTCGGTTACTCTGAGACAGTATCACTGAAGCTCTTATAGCCTATTCAATCTGCTATCCTGATCAATGCCGTATTGCTTTTCTGGTTCATTTGCTGGAGTTTTCTTGAAATTATAGCATTTTCAAATTAGAAGAGATTTTACAAACCATAAAACTAGAGAACCAGGAAGGTTAAGTTTGTCTTGTCTTTTATTCTGTTCTGAAACTGTATTCTATTTCATTTTAACTTGAATATCACATAGAGATGCTTAGAAATAGGCCGTATTAGTTCTCTTCAGTCTAGCCCAGACCTATTTGTTATGTGAACATCCTCCAAAAACTTTGTTTTGGGGATTAAAGGTACTTTTGAAGAGAAAGTCATCTAAACAACAAAATTGATCAAG